CCACTTAGATGCAATCAGTGAGATGTACTTTTTAAGGTATACTTGATAATGATGTGAACACACTGTACGGATGTCACCTTGTGGGCGCCCGGAACGGAGCGAAAGGAGCCGCCGATCTGTGTGCGTCAGGTCTTGAGCGTTGATGAGGGACCGCGTCTTGGTCTGTGTGGTCACATGGCAACTCCTTGCACCCAGGGAGCACGGAGGAAGTTCGGCTTCTGCAATGAAAAAGAAATGTAAATGCAACATGACTGCTTCTTCATTCATGCGAGCCATATCTGCGTGCTGCGCATGAATGACATGTCGGGCACATATGCGCCTTACGTGCAGAAACTAGCCTTGTACGCAAAACGCCATTCGGATTTGAACTTTTATAACGCTAATTGGTTTGTGACAGGTATAAGGCTAACCATGTGTATTTAATATAAGCCAACGCATCCTTCCCTAAAGCTTGGGCTTAAACATGTCTAACGTAACACATACTACATGTACGACAAACGGCCAGCTTTAACAAAAATAGCTAGTCCATCTGGTTTGAAAAAGTCATGAATTGAGCGACCGCAACAATACAGATACTGTGACAGGGTAGGCACGCGTAAACACGAAACAACTATCATTGCATTGTAGAAAATAAAGCCGGCTTTCCTACGTACCCTGATCAGCATCCACAGGAACCGTAGATTGACTTCTTTCTCCAGAGGGACCAGCTTCATCCATCGTTACACCACCGTACAAGGTACTTGACGAAAAATGAAGTTCTTTCTTCGACAGATTTCCGATCTCAAATGGTCGTTCAAAAGCCAACTTCTCGCTTGTCAGCCCTTTCTTAGCTTACTAGCGCAGAAGCGGGTTCCTCAAAAGGCAAGGAATGAGACTCGATACCCAGTGTCAATAGTGCGGGCACGTGCCTTTGTTTATTCAATATTTCCAATGGGTCATGTAAAGATTCCCGCACTGACAATATGGACCGAAAATAATGCTAGAAGCGCACTCTTGGCTTGTGACAATGCTTCAAGCGTCCGAGTTAACATACTGAATCAGCGCGTTTCAGACTTTGATCACGCGCCTGTAGCCTTCACTGCGCTCCAACTAAGCGCGAACCGGATCATAGTTCCGCTTTTCACCCCAGCATGCGTGACGGCTAGATTTCGCAGCGATATTATCGCGTTTCAGACGTCCAAGTCAGCTGATGCCGCCCGTCAATTAGGCATAGGGTTTCGGAGTGTGAGGAGCCGCCCTCGGGTACAAAGGGCAAAGCCGGCCTGCTATGGCGACGCACTGGCGGCACCCCCGATTAGTACACGATACCCGCCGTTTCTTCCCTTACAGCCAGAAAAGAGGTACCAAGGGAAGCGGGCAGCAAACTCCGTTGTTTCTTTGGACCTAATCGCTTCGGCTATCGTCGCAGGTGGCGTGCTGTGCGGCGAAGAGGCGTTAAAAAGCGACGCCGGGTAGTGGTGCGAGAGTTCAACTTCAAAAATTGTTTTCTCGCTTTAAACAAAAAATACTCTGATTAAACTTTTAGAATCAAAAGACGACCAATCGTTCTTCCAAACCCACCATATTTTGTATTTTTACTTGGACCACCTCAGGGTGGAATGAACGGCTCTTTATGCGTCAAAACGCACTTTTTGGCGACTTCAGAATTTTTTTTTTTTACTGCAAGATGTTTAATTGAGCGGTTTAAAATATTTTTATAGGTTCTATACCTAAAGGGCAGCCAGTAAAAAGTTATTTTGGGCCTCGGGAGCAATTATATATTTTTTTAATAAAATGACAAAAATGTTTATTTTTGAATAAAATTATGTATTTGTAAAAAATATTTAAATTAAACAAAACTGCACAAACTCAACCACATTATAAGCCGACGACCGTGCAAATTTAAGAAAAAAATATTGTTGGGTGTTTCATAAAAAAGCAGATTTTTCGTAAATTATTGAGTGATGCCTAGTTTCACGCTGTTTTCAAAAACTAAAATCGCGCTCACGTCATCAAAAATTTTTTTTCGTCAAAACTATATTAGGGTATGGCTACAGACATTGTGGCCGAAGCCCATGAATTTTGTTTTAGAAATCGGAGGTGGTCGAGCGCAACGTCTGGGACGTTTCACATGGAATGACCCATATACGTTTCATTTGTATCTGGCTGACTACCACATTTAGATAAATCGAGAAAATATATTTTTTAATATTTTATCAAACGGGAACATACGAATTTCAATGCCGTAATGGAGGATCACCAGGAGAAAAAGACAAGCGGAGGCAGGGTTTTATCTGTCGATATATTCACCTTTAAAAATCGCAGTTTTTAACCATATCCATGTTTATGGTGGGCGATTCAGACGAGCCAAATTTACTGTTACTTCGCATTGCACTAACGTTTTACAACAACCTCACAAGTGTAAATATAATGAAGTCCCTTGTTCGAACTTAACAACGGTTGCTTCTCGAAGATGCTATTTGCAAGACGAGCAAGAGAAGAAGAGGTTGGGCCTTTTGGAAGGCCAGTCTTGAAAGCTACAAGTTCTTCTTCATGAAGGTTGGATTCGTTGTTCAGTTTGAAGACGGGGAACAAAGGGACAATAACTACACGTTAATTTGTGTGTACCTTTTAAGTGACCAAAGTTTGGGATGCAAGGGTGTGTTCGGTGTCTGGCAGCCTGTTCTTTTGTTGTAACTGTAGGTCTCTTCGTGGAAGTTAAGTGATGGCTGTAGTGAACCTTAGATTTCTGGGTATGTGAGGAATCGTGGAAGCAAAGAAAATGGCTAAGCTTGAAACGACCCTCTTTTGTGTCTTTTCTTTCGACTAAAAATTTCGCTTTGTTACCGCAGTCTCAGGCACTGGAAAAAGGATCGATATCCACTAGCTTTCATGCACCCAACTCTTACCAAGCGAGGACCGCACAAAATAAACCCTAAGATAAGTAACCAAAAAGTTAATAAGATGCTGCTCTTCGTAAAGATTTATTTATACTTTTGGAATCTCCCTCTGAGAAAAAAATAAATAAAAATTACCCACTGAACGAATAAAAAAGAACGCCGTTCCTTTTTCCGTTTCAGTTCCACCGATGCAAAATGGAACGGCGGCGTTCCAGGAATGCCCTTCATTAGAACACCGGTCCGTACAACAATGGTTCTGCGGTACCATGAATCTCGGAGCTCTCGGCGTCGTTCGTGTTTGCGCCGAAGTCTCTAGGGACTTCCGCGGACGCGCAAATCGTAATTCATAATGCTCAGTGGACGGGCGCCGCCCTCACCGAGAACCTCAGCTATATTCTGTTCACTTATGATGGAAAAAAAAGCTAGAGTTTCTTGTCGCAAGAAATCTGCGGGCGACCAGATAGGTCCTCTTTCCGCCGTCGCCGACGAAGTTGGCCACCGCAACGTTCTCGGCTGTTCACTGGCTCCCCCCGCCCAGCGGGCGCCTTCCCATAATCCTCTCCGTTCCAAAATGCGATGCTACCTCCCTTTACATGGGCTGAATGAATGCGCTTTCGCCATCTCGATTCACCTCTGTCTAGAGCAGGGGTCTCAAACATTCGGCCAGCGGGCAGCATGCGGCCCGATAATCGCTGGGACGAAGCCCGCAGGCGGTCAGCAACGAGTCCCGAAATGGCATGCGCCATAATGATCTCCTCTCGTCGAATCATTTTCGCTCGTAAAGTAGCTCTGTATTTTTTTTAACATATTCAAATGGTTTACACCTATCTGCATTCATTTTATCTCTGTTTAGTTTTATTTTCTGCTTCCCAGTTTTTCATAATATTCAACAATTCCGCTACTAGGCTGCAAGCGCGAGATACTCGTTGAAGGATGCATCTCGGGTGCGCGAACTGTCGATCAGATAGAGCAATTGCCATAGATAGAGCTACGAGCTCGGGATCCTCACCTTTAAAAAAATATTTCCATAAAAATACAGGTATTTGTTCGCAGTGGATGAAATAAAAAATTGCCAGGAAAGCAAGAACTGTCAAATTAACTGATTTGCTGAGCTTGATTAACGGGAACGACAGTGTACTTGCTCTCTTGTTCCATTAAAATTGCCAGCACGTTGGCGGAGCGGTGTCATTTTAATTGTTGTTATCATATGAGGTCAGGGCCCAAAGTAGTCATATAAACAAATAAAATTTAAAGTTGTCACTGGCAAAGCTGTGAGTTTACAAAAACGACAGAACACGAGGTCTCTTTAAAATCTTTTGATCGAAAATGAACAAAACATCGCTGCTGAGCACTGCCGACTTCGCGTATGATACGAATAAATTTGATGTGTAGTTCAAAAACATGGGCGCAACAATTAAACGTATGGCTGTATAAAGGTATCTTGATCGGCGGCGTACATACTCCGAGCTCCACACTTTAGACATCTTGACGATTTTACTGGTTGTTTTTATTACAATCGCAGTTTTAGCACCGTCCTGCGAAGGGCTCGATCGCTTGGAACAGTGCCGCCGTTGTAACTCCCCTATTCTCTGGCGATCTGGTGCTCGCCGTCGTCTGCTTCTATTTTGGCGACCACTGCTACTTTTTTTTTTTTCATTAAACGGTTTACACACACATTGAGAGTCCGCGTCTGCCACGGGGGAAGAAGAGGGAACTGAGCGAGAGCGTCTGGAGAGCCGCTCTTTTTTGCCTGTCGGTAGACGCACCTGGAGATCCCGTCGCTCCGTTTGGAGTCAAGGAAACGCTGCCGAATGCGCCTATTGTTACTAACATGCATCAAGAGCCCTCAGACTGAGAGATAATGGCGAATCAGATAAAAAAAAAGAGCCCCTTTTACTGCCGCGCCGTACCCTCGAACGCTTCAAGCACACAGATGTTCCTGGCTGTTTGAACCAATCTCCGTGAGCCGCCCAGTGCAAGTCTAGCACGCCGCTCAGGCCCTCGACGTTAAGCGGATGTTATAAGGGCTAACGAACTCGTAGCATTGTTTGTGCTGGCGTGTCGGTGACTTCCAAGGTTCGCATCTAAAGCTGCGGTTTGTGCCACGTCGTTCGTTTTAAAAACGCTCACTTTCATTTTGGACTTGAGGTCGGCTGCGGCCCGTACGCCATGGCGGATTTCCACTGCCACCACCTGGCCTTGGCGGTGCCCATCTGCGTGCTGCTGTTTGGCATGGCGAGTCTGACCACGGCTCACGAGCACCATCAGTACTCCGATACGGACCAATTAAAAAAGAAATGGAGTGCCCACGATGTGGTCCGGGACGTGGAGTGAGTTTTTTTCTTTATTTATTCGCGAGTTCACTTCCCACTTGCACAAGTGGTTCCACATCGAGGCGGCACTTTGGTGAGATTGTGCTGGTGCGTCTGCTGCGTTTTTTATGCTAATATGAGAGTAAAAGTGCTAGTTAAAAGTGAGTATACCTGGTACCATGTCCTAGGTATGTCGCCATACCCATGATGCGCTTGACTTCTTGCTTTGAAGTCGGTATGGGCATCTGTTCCACTGCGTTGACGATTGTCTCGTCTGGACGGAGACCATCGCTGTCTGCTTGATGACCTAGGAACTTGATACTTGTCACTCGGAAGACGCATTTATCTTCGTTGAGCGTGAGTCCTGCTGATGAGAGTCGCCTGAGGACTTCTCACAGACGTTGCTCGTGCTGCTCAGACGATGACGCCCACATCAAGATATCATTCATGTGGCAAAGTACTCCTTCCATTCCTTGAAGAAGTTGTGTGATACGTCTCTGGAAGTGTTCCGGTGCTGACGTGATTCCGAATGGTAGGCGATTAAAACAAAATCTTCCAAACGGAGTGATGAATGTGGTCAGGAGTCGTGACTTCTCTTCTAGAGGGATCTCCCAGAACCCAGAATTCGCGTACAGCTTTGAGAAGATCTTGGCTCCCGCTAGCCTTCCCAGCGTGTGCTCCACTGATGGGATAGGTAATATTCGCGCTGAATGTGTTTGTTCAGTTGTGTGAGATCAACACAAATGCGAATTCTGCCAGACGGTTTGGGGACGATGACCATCGGTGCGCACCATTCAGTATGTTCTTCTACTGGAGAGATGACACCTTGTGACTGCATGTTTTCTAGCTCTTTTTTGCGTTTCTCGATACAGCGAAAGCGGTACTCTTCTCGGTGATGCGATAGCAAACGGCGTCGCGTTAGGTTTCAGCTTGAGAACGTGAACACCTTCGAGAGATCCCAGCCCTTGAAACAGGTGAGAGAACTCTTTCTTCGGTTCGCAAGCTTTGTTCGCAGTCATGCAGATTTGAGGGCAAAGCCGAAATTTTTCGATAGCTGGCTTACGCAAGAGATGCCTGCGAAGTCCCTTCACGATGCAAACTTCTTCGAGTGCTTGTTGCCCACGGCAATTGAGCTTCATCCAAGCTGATCCCATAACTTTAAAGGGTCGTCTGTCTGGACCATGAAGTCGGCGTTGGGGCTCGGAGAGCTTGTGGGACTTTGCGAAGACCTCTTGAAAGATGGCAGCTGGTAACACCGTTTCATCTGCTCCAGTGTCTATTCGGAAAACAACAGGAGTTTCGTTGACGAATATCTCGATGTTCCATTTAGCTGTTTGAGGAGAAGCTGCAGCTCCTACGAATCCTTGTTTGTGTAGGTAGTTCACGGTAGTTGAAGGTTTTCAGACTGTTGCAAAATGTCCATTTTTCTTACACCTGTTGCAACCTGCGTTCTTCGCCGGACACACGCTCCTCGGGTGAGCTTCCCGACCACACCAACGGCACGGTTTGCCTTTTGGTGTGGGTGTCGTGGTCTTCTTAGTAGGAGTTCGAACATTTGAACGATCAATTCCTCGCTGAGCAGGTCCTGCTGCTGTCCCATTTTTGGCTGCTATACGGTCCACGTTGGCATCATTTTCTTTTGTCGGTCGGAGTTCCACTTGTTGCTTCTTAATCACTTCCGATTGTCGCGCAGCAGCGATGGCCTTCTGGAGGTCCAGATCGGGATCCAGTTGAAGTTTTTCTGAAGTCCCGCTGGTCCCGAAGACCAACAATCAGCCTATCGTGGATCAATTCTTCCTTCAGTGGTCCATAGTTGCACGTAGTGGCTAATCCACGGAGAGCAGTGACGTACTCCTCGACAGTTTCCGTCTCCAGTTGCGATCTTGTGTTGAACAAATCTATCTCATACACCACGTTTCGACGAGGAATGAAGTAACGCCTCGAAGTTCTCCATCACCTTCTCAAAATTTTGGGCCTCGGTGTCGAACAGCTTGAAGCTCTGTAAGACGTCTTCAGCTTGGGGTCCCATGATGTAGATGAGAGTGTCGACTTGGTGTGATGATGATTGAGATGCCACTCCTGATGCACTGTGAAAGCGCTGGAATCTCTTCTTCCACGCCGGCCATTCGTTATTTGTTGTAGAACTGAATGCTTCGGGTGGCGAGATGCGAAAAGTTGCCGTTACCGTTTTTTCGGAGCACCGTTGTCGGCAGAAGTTGAGGGCTTGTCCATTGTTCCTTCGTTTGTAGTCGATCCTGCGCTTTACTGATTATTAGTAGACTGGCGGAGCGATTCCACTTATGACACAATGATTCGTTTTACGTTCTTTTGCCAAGGGCACACATAGACAACCTTTCGCGCCGGAGTCAGGCTGAAGACTGCCGTCTCGTTTATTACATATAAAACGAAATAAAAGAAAGGCGCCTCCGGTACGGGGCGCTCAGGTTACGCGCAAAGCAGAGCCGTATGGCGCGAAGCGGACGAACGGATGTTAATAGGGAGTTTTAGCGAGTCGTTTTTCAAGCACACGGTTCCGAAATCACGAACGGTACAGCTGGTTCGTTCCGTGAAACCGTACGTCAAATTCGACATACTTTAGCGAATCGTGAAAGTGGCGCGACCGTGTAAACGATGATGCTGATCATGCTTAACGGTGGCGCCATCTTCTAGCAAGCGTGTGAAACATTCTGCAACGTGTAAATCCGTGGCGGCTCGTGTTTCCGGCGTACGACTGATGTAAACAAGACGACCGGCGTAACATTTGCCGGTCGGAATTTCAAGAACTGCGAAGCTAGATAGAGTAAAAAGTGTCTGAACGACCGTAAAGGTATGTGGTGTGTCTCGGTCATCTTGAACTTGAACGATCGTTCACGTTGTGTGCCGTCGAACCAAATAATTTCGTCTGCTCGCGGTCGCCACGGCAGCTAGTCTGCCCGGCAGATCGCAAAACTTTACTAGCATGGGCCGTTTACAGCATTCACGATCGTTTACCATTGTGAGCAGTCCTCGAAATGAATTGGTTCAACCTCTCAAATGAAGCAGACTTAAACAGGACGGCAAATCGCCTCCCGCTGTCCTAAGCCTAACGCTCGGCTGGGTCAGCGAAGGCGGTCGCCGAACCGACCGCCATCTTTTTTTTACCCGAGCCGTGAACGGTGCTGGCTGCGTTGCGGTGACGACTCCAGCGGCCGGAATGGGAGAAACGAACGAGAAGAGCCTCCCGACTTTCCGAACGACTCGCGCGCGCATGCGCAGTGGCGTCGCGGATGCGTTCGAGGGCGAACCGTTCGTGTGGAAACGACCTGCTAAAACTCCCTTATATCTCGGGCTGCGCGCGAATGGTTGTTCTCGGTCGCTTTGGACTTTGGTTGGAGCTCGCTAGCGTCGGCGCGTCGGCGACTCCATAACACAATCTGTCATGGGCGGGCTTCCCCGAAACAAAATGCTGGCTACGTGCCTGACTGGTACAATACCCACCTGCGCTGCGGAACTACGTCATGATAAAGGTCGTAATGTCGCCGTGAAGCTTGCAAGCCTACAAAGGCTATATATAACGTCCACGTCTGATTTTCAGTATAATGCACCATAGCTTGCAATATGGGAAGCCCGCCGTAATATTTTTCATTCCTTTGTCCTTGTTCGTTTTTGCAGCTTTGGTTCATACCAGAGCTCGAATGCGAAATATGGGTCTCAAACTCTACAAACAAAAATATGCAAGTTCTCTTTTCTGAACAAAAAGAGACAACCAATCACGGCGAAAAAAGAAGAATCCTGACGAATAACTTAGCTCACACTTTTCAGATTTAATCCTATTCTGAGCTTCATCATTCGCTGTCATCCTTCTGTTTGGCGCCGTGACTGACTGTCTCCGTGTTCTGCAGGAAGGTAAATTCACCGACGTTTTAGAGTGCAGTCTCTGCTTTCTGAGAAATTGAGAGATAATAGATTCCTTTAATAGATCGTTCAGTCACTTACGCTATGCCATTCGCAATCCGCTACGAACTCCGCTATATAGCGTAGCGGAACCGCCATTTCAAGTTTTAGTAGATCGTTCGTAACCCGCTATAGATTTCAGCATTAGAGAGCTAACGCAACGCCACTAGCGGCTCTTTCATACACTGAGGCGTGCATAAAACAAAAAAGATTTGAAGCAAATATTTGCATTTTTTTTTTATTTACGTCGCTATCTTTATAAAATATTTTTTCTTTATCGAATACAGTGCTAGTCTTTGCTTCTTTTTTAAGTACATGAATATTATGTTTGTAATTCAACACAACTCACGATTAAGCTCTCCAAGCCAGCGCCAATCCGATATCAATCAAGAGCCAAAGCCATCGAGATAAATGTTAAAAAATAAGTGACAGCAACCGTAGATTTTCCTCGAAGTGCGAAGGTCACTTGGCACCCAAAAATCTACAGAGTCACCGCTGATTCCAAGTACACGCTTTCAGGCATTGAAAATCGCCACATTTAGGAGAAGCAGAAGGCAATGAGAGGAAGGGAAGGGTTGTTTTTGCCACTCCCGAGATCTTGGTTTTGACACAATACCGCTTCTGGTCGTTGTTTTGAATACTTCAATTAACGAAAAAAAAGGAGCGTCATTTTTAGCATTCGTGCGCATACATGGCTTGCAGGTGACATCATTGTACTTCATTAATTCTAGTTCTTGTGGAGGAAAACAAATTTAATGGTACAAAATGCAAGCTATATATAAAAGGCAACGTTAGAAAAAAGTACTCGCTCGGCGGCAAGACCACCACAATGGCAACTGATGTCACGTCAGTGGAAGCCATTTACGGCGAGCACTTCGCGCACTTTCCGAAACGAAGAATACCTGCTCATACTGGGCTGTGGATTTTCAATAACAATAAAGAAACATAGAGGACAGATTTAGCAAAAATTAGGCATTCAGAAAGCCGCCATCCCTCTGTGATTCCGAAAAGTGTTACGAGGGTCTAATTTGTATTCCAACAAGCAGATACTTTTGAAGCAAGACATTTTACGTAACAACGGACTA